CCCACCACACACACACACACACCCGGCCCACACATCGCAATAGGGGTGTTCCGCCCTTCGCCCCGGGCCTTGCGTTTCCTCCTTGGCCCCGCGGTGTGCTCGTGCACGGGCGGAGGCTCTTTCCTCGCCAAAACCCCGCACCCGCAGCGCCCAGCTCGAAACGGCGAGTCTCCTGACAGATCCTCGCTCTCACCGAGCAGCCTTGCTCGCGGAGGGGCCGGCGGCGGCGTGCCAGTCCGGACGGCGCTCAGGAAGAGGCAAGTGGGGAGCGACTTCGGTTGGGAAGGTGCAGGGGCCAGCCGGCGCACGGCCCCCGGCTCGGGTCCTCGTCGAAGCATGTGTCGCAACACGGCCCAGCGACGGCTAAGCGCCGGAACTGGCACTGTGAGTAGGGCCTGTGCGCGGGGCGGTGAGGAGGCAGAGGACGTCTGTCATCATTCAGGCCTGTGCGCGGGGCGGAACGCGTTGGCGGGGCAGCGCCACATACCTCCACCTCCCTGAGGTCGGGATGTGCCGAGCTGCACGCCCTCCGCCCCGCGCCGGCAAGAGCAGACTCCATGACAATGCCGCAACGGCCGCGACCGCCTTGAGACGCACGGGGCCAGGTGTAAAGCAAGGCTCCGGAGAGGCGCCCCAGTACCACAGCCCAATGCCCACAGCGGAATCACGGCGCATTGAACTGAGTGGTGGTTCGCTTCCAGATGCGGGCAAACGGCATCGGCGCTGCTCCTGCCGCGGCAGTTTCGCAGCGTGGTAGCCCAAAAGGTGAAGAAACGCGCCCATGGAAATTGCGGCACCCACAGAAGAGCGGCTCATTGAGGACGAGCCCCCGGCGCCAAAGAGAGCGCGCCCTGCACCGTCAGCATTGACCTCCGCGATGAACTCATGGGCCGCTCCGCGGCGCCACTCGCGTCCTCCCGTCCCGCCGCAAAGGGCGCACCTCTACGCCCGTAGTGGGCACCGAAGATGGCCCGTGGCAACGGCAACTGCAAAGCCACCCTCACGGCGCAGCAATACATCACAAGCGCAATTCCGCGGCAAAAACCGGATGAGCGCGGCACCTGACCGCGAACCGCCCGCGTGCGCGGCGATGTCGATCTTTTCCTTCGCCGACACTCACCGACCTCTTCGCAAAGCGAACAGCAAAAAGAAGCAGCGTGAACACCGCAGACAAAATAAAAAAACAAAAAGGCCCACCCGCCACCACCGACCGCACAGAGCGCAAACGAAGCCCGTAACGAAACAACGCAAAGCACGAAACAAATTCCCCACTCATCTCTTTGGCCTCCTCCGGGCGCATCCCCCTACACGGGAGTCCAAATTAACAAACAAATACATCGCGAAGGAGCCGCGCAAGCCCAGCCCGCCGAGCCGTAGCCCGGCAGCGCGCCGCCGCCCCCACACGAGGGAGACGCCACACCGCCACCACGCAGCGCACACGGCGCACCGGCCGCGCGCAGGGCCCGTAATAAATAAAACAAACACACACAAGCAGAAATCAAAGCGAACGCTGAAGCGGATCGTGTGCCCTCGTGGGCTCTGCGCCCCCGCCCAGCGCGAAGAATAAAAAAAAACAAAAAAAACCAAATGCTTCGGCCCGTTGCGGCCGCCGTTCCAATTCGAACGGGGTTCGTTCATAGCACACAAAAGGGAAAACAAAACAATCGATGCATCCAGGCGTTTCGTAGCGACCGGGCACGCTGACAACTCGCGAGGCGGCGCTCCGCAGGGCAGCAGAACTGCGCCCGCCACCTCCCAACGCGGCCTCGCACAAAACAACAAATGCATCCAAACAAATTCCCCACTCATCTCTTTGGCCTCCTCCGGGCGCATCCCCCTCCACGGGAGTCCAAATTAACAAAAAAATACATCGCGAAGGAGCCGCGCAAGTCGAGCCCGCTCTAAAATTTATTTAAAGGGTGGAAGGCACAAGGGCCGTCCCACAAACACCCTCAACGTCGCTGGGTGTGGCGCACCAACAAGAAGACCCGCGCATGCAGTGGCACCCCGTACCGCAGGCCTCAGCTACACATGCCTAGAAACGTGGATGGTGGCATCCGAGTCCTCCATCTCCGAGTACTCCTCCATCGTCTGGGATAAAGACGCTCGCCACAAACCGCTGTGCGACGGACGCTCCAGAAGGCGGCCCTCCATCTCAGCGGCGGCGTTGAATAAATGCGGCGTATCGCTACTCTGAAAGGCAGGCATAAGATGCACACTTTCTGTACGCGGATCGCACCCAGCTGAAAGTTTACGGGCACTTTTCCTCATCACACGACCCATTTTGGACGCCAGACACTCCATCGCCACGCGGCACGTCTCCTCCTCATGCCCCGCCCCAACTCCGCGCGGCACACTGACCCTCCACCGCTCGCAGAGAGGACGCAGAACCTTAAGCCGCAGCGAGGTTGCAAAGGTGCCAAACAACACAGCCAACACAGTCACGATGGTGTGCGAGACGCCGCTCATTGCGGTGGACGCAGAGGCCTCGTCACTGCCTAACGCAGCATCGCCATTGTCGTCAAGCTCCGCCGCCTCTTGGTACAGCCGCAGCGCAGCGAAGGTGCGCCCGGGCACAGCGTCCAGCTGGTACATCTCCACAGGCTCCGGCACCCCGCGCAGCGCCACCGCGCCCAGCGCAGTCACCTCCACCTCCTCCCGCTCTGCTGTGCTCAGCGCCATGTACGCCGCAC